GGGACATCGGGAGGGGACACTGGGAGGGCACCGAGAGGGGACCGAAGGATGGGACCGAGGGATGGGCACCAAGGGACGGCAGGCGGGAATGGCACCCATGGAGGGACCCCAAGGATGGCACCGAGGGAATGGATGCCCGGATGGCACCCACGGAAGGGATCCCGGGATGGCACCCCCGGTAAGTGACCAGGGAACGGGCCCGCCCCGGTGTCCCCTGGGTGTCCCCTGGGTGTCCCCTCACCTGTCCGGGCACTGCAGCAGCTGCTGGAGCTGCTCGGCGGATCCCGCGGCCGCCACCGCGCCCGCCATGGCCGGGCTGAGGGAGGGACGGGAGCACGTGGTGCCACCCGGGTCACGTGGTGTCATACGGGTCACGTGGTGTTACCCGGGTCACGTGGTGTCGCCCGCGTCACGTGGTGTCACCCGGGTCACGTGGCGAAACCGAGGGTCACGTGCGTCCGTCCCCGTCAAGGGACGCTTCCGTGTCGCGTATCCGCCCGCATCACGTGATCCTGCCTGTGCATGCATCCGCCGGTGTCACGTGTTCTGACCTGTATCACGTGACCCCACATGTATCACGTGACCACGCCTGTGTCACGTGTTCCCGGTCCCAGCCCGGTCTGCCCGGGGCACCCCCGAACCCCAAAATGTGGGATCCCAGAACTCTGTGGGGATCCCATAACTCTGAATTCTCAAAATTAATCCAAAAATAAAATATGAACATTTTCATTTATTGTCTTTTTTTATAGACTGTACCTAAGATAATACTTTGAAGAAAACAGAGAAAAATATATAAAACTACACGTTTTCCATAAATACATTCCAGTTGATGTAAAGCATGTGATCAGAGGGAAGAAAGTCAAATTCTGTTTATTTTCCCTGATGTTTTAACCTGACAGAAACAAAGTGGAAAAAACAAAGATTTGGAATTTTATCCCCTATTTTGCTGAGTCTCAGAGTTTTTAAAAGTTATTGTTCCTCTGTCATAAACAAGAAAAAACAGGGTTTTTTT